TTAGACGTAGATTTATAATTTGAAATTGTATCCATTTAAAACTGGATAAATAATAATATGGCAAACAGCCACTTTAATCTAACCTTAAGCATTTGATACATGAGCAACTATAAAAATGGTTTTCATGGAAAAATCAACCATTTTGCAAATCATGGAACGAGTCATTGAGAAATTAACAACACCTGTCAATAGCAGGTATGGGATCCACAAGATGCAGTGACATACTGAAACCTAGGATCCATGCTTACAATAAGCTTAGATATTTAAACCAAATTTGTCCCACATCATAGTTTTCTGTTGAATCCATGATTTAATCCTTATCAAAGTGTGAATAGTATATGTAAGCGCCACACTCAGGCAGACCCGACAACAAGAGTTAGACTTGAGGAACACCCTCGCCGTCGATGCAAATGGCCTTCATTGTTAGATTGAGAGCGACATGGTAGCCTAGTGGTTTCAGCGTCCTCAAGTCTCGTCGATGATCTGGGTTTGATTCCAAACATGAGTACAAAGGTTCATGCATTCCTCACGGCCAGCTCGGAGATATTATTTAAATCCTTAAACCCAATCCGTACACTTTGGCTAACATGAGTAAAATAGGTTCATGCCTTCCTCTTGCCCTTCGGTGATATATTTAAATCATTAAACCCAATCCGTACACTTTGGCTTTAGCAGACACCTGCTGGATTATGCAAGAGTAACCTGCCTCGAACACAATGAGCTGTTGGAATAGGTATCAACACGCATTTGCTAACAGTACGGCTAATTGCTACATGCCTTAAACGAGATCGGGGTTTATCCTCAACACACTTACGGCAAACCTATATCCAGTCGCGTAACTCGATACCTATCTAGTATCACCTCAATTAGACTGGTAATTGAAACAAGGTGGTATCGCCCATCAGTAAACCAGTTCCAGATTCATGCAGCTTATATTTACTTCATCGTCACTGAACAGTAATATTCTAAATTAACCTCCAACCTTCAAAGATATCATTATGTACACAGTCAGTCGTGATTTATACCCTACAGCATGGAGTGTGAACATACTGTACATTCTCAGTGAAGGATATTAGCCTGTGTTGTGAGGTAAGGAATCTGTTGTGACTCTTGTCAGTTTTTGTTTTATGGCTTGGTATAATTGTATCTGAAATTATGAAATAAAATTTATCAGTCCAGTAGTTCTAAAATGTTTCTGTGTTAGTAGTATGCCCATTTAGTAATACATCAGATTAATTACGAACCTTTAAATGGCTAAAAGTCCACGACTGAAACTAGTTGTGCCTGATTTGAAGTCAACGATGAGTATAAGGTAGCTCAGGTGGTGAAGCGTTCGGCGCGTCAGTCTTGGGACCAGGGGGTCGTAGCCTAGTGGTTAAGGCGTTCGCGAAAGACCAAGGTTCGATACCGCACATGGGTACTATGTGTGAAGCCCATTTCTGGTGTCCCCCGCCGTGATATTGCTTGCATATTGCTAAAAGCGGCGTAAAACCATAGTCACTCACTCAAGCCCTGGGTTCGATTGCCAGCATGGGTACTTCCAGAAGACATGGGGTCCCGTGCATGTTCCTTGAAGCTACACAGACCTAACATGATATCCATGTGTGTTGGTTACAGAGCCAGAAGCCCCAGGGCTGCCCATGTGTTTAGAATAATACCTTCAAACGTAAACAAACAACAAGTTCGGAGTTTACAGTTTGCTGTGAGCCAGACACCAGACCCTGATAACGTTCACATATTTCTAAACACATTTTATATAAATGGGAGTTTGCGATCACATGATCCTTGTAACCCATATTCCAAGCTTTATGTAAGTTCAAGGGAAGAGAGGTTTAAGTCATTAACCATCATCTCCCCCCGGCGGGGAGTCTGTGGGGCGTCTCCTGTCAGACAGATACCTATTGAACAATGGAGAAACAAGCGTGTATGTTCTAACGTAGTAAAGCTGTTTATCTTTATTGCGATGAGGGGTCTGCTGGTTTATATATCCCCCACGTGTGGACTGACTGTTTCCGGGCCGTTTGTTTTAGAGTAGGTTGGTGTAACACACAATTTCTGATTTTAGGTTTATTTTACCTTTGATACAACCCCTGCCCTGCAGTGTTGATTGTAGTTGTACTCTGCATAAAAACTGACGCATACATGGACGAATTGAACGTTAAGAGATGGCACTTGTTGTTGCTCTGCCTTAAACTGGTCGGCTTGGTAGAACAGAGTGTCTTAGTGGGATATCGATGTTATTGAACGGCTTGGTGTCTCATTGGTCAATATTATAACACCGACAGTTTAGTGCAAGGAGACGCACGCACGCACGCTACCCTGCACGTGCTACATAAGTGCATTCTTCAACGCCACGTTAACCGTAAGTTCACTTCAGCTGTTTTCAGCTTGTTGCTGAATCGGATCGTATCAGCACGCCTTTAATTGATTGATACTTCCAACATCACTCCAATCTCAATAACAGCTCTGACGGGAGCTGACGAAAATAGCTGACGTAACACGTCGCATGAACGCGTTGTGAAGAAAAGCACGTGCCCCCTGACAGCTCTCCCGATATCAAAGGTTGACGATTGCTGCTAGATGTTGTGAAGTTATTCTTTCAACTCTCCCTGTCTGGAACTGCCTGATCCATCGAGATAAAAAGTCTAACTTTGTTTCGATTGTTCGCTGTGAATCTGTTACAGCCAGTCTTTCCACACTGACCGTGAAACTTGGGAAGTAGGCCATCGTTTGCGTCACGAGCAGTTCAGCTCCATTTTGTTCAGATTTCGTAAAATAGTCATGACGGTAAATGTCACTACCTACGTCAGCAAGCGTCTAAAAGCGTATATCAATACGGCTAAACTCAACCCTGCGATGTGAAATGGAATGTTTTGTGTGTATATGGCACGTGTTTGAGGCTTTCTTCAGTTTATTACATTAATACAGTAAATTAAACATGAGTTGAAAAATGCTATCAGTTTGTCGTGATGCTAATGAGAACGGAAAACTGTATGAACGATGATAAAATAATTCTTATCTTGACTATCTCGCAACCCATCTTTGTGGAAGAGGCGACCAAAGGCGCAGACAATTCTGATGATGTCAATCACTGGAATGTGTGATTCAGATTCACGGACTGTCGTCATACAGCTGGACTCTTTAACTGTGACGCGTTAATCGACGTCATTCAACAAACAGACTTCGTGCTGACTTGGGGGCGGTGGGGTAGCCTAGTGGTTAAAGTGTTCGCTCGTCACGCCGAAAACCCCAGTTCGATTCCCCACATTGGTACAATGTGTGAAGGTCATGTCTGGTGTAACCCGCCGTAATATTTTTGGAATATTGCTAAAAGCGATGTAAAACCCAACCCACTCACTCACTCATGTAGACTTGAGGCAAAGCGAACCTATCCCTAAGACGATCTTAATTCCTACATAAGGCTCACGATGGTCGTAGTCTGTCTGTAGTTTGTGAAACCGGCCCTGTTCAGAGTTTTCTCATGCTGCCTTGTAGCGGTCGGCGATCTCCAGGAGTAGATAACCTTGTTTTGCGCTCCCGGCAGCGTACATTGAAGCGCATGAGCTAATCGACTGTATATGAGTTCTGACTATTTCTGGACAAGATGTGTCAAGACATTGCGCTATCAGACAACGCTTCCCCCGGCAGTCTTGATCCAGTAATGTACCATGTTGATATTCTGCATTTGAAACCGCCCCAAGACCATGTCATGGTGCCACTGTGAATGGCAGCCATTGTGTGGTGATCCATTGCGATATTGGGCAGCCATAGTTGGAAAACACACATGGTTCTGCCAAAAAAGATTCCACATATCGGGAATTGAACCCCGACCGTGTAGATGATTGAAAATGCAACCAGTTTCCTCCCTCTCTACCTTACTAAGCTACCAATATGCATGGTACTAGCACTCTGCCATATTGTGCTTTACTCAGAAGTTGTTTGATCAAGGTTACAACATTCCAGGCCTCAGTAAAGCTTTCAAGAAACTTTATGGTAGACATGTGGAGGACATTTCCAAATTTGATGCATCAGTGACTAAAATTATGCCCGATGCAATTCCCTATTTTGACTTATACCATACGTTCCCGAATTATTTCAGGTGAACAAATGACTAGACTTTTATGACGGATGTCACCGGTGGGGCAGGATACGCTCACCTTTTCGCGAACACCTGGTATCATCACTATTTCATAGTGATTCATAAACACATACTCTGTCATCGTGTCGCATGGTTTAGACCCGATTTGTTTACAAACAACATCATACAGCTTTAGTACTGCTGAAACAAATATCTGCTTATGATATAGTGACAATTGAACAATCGACGCTGGTTTTGGCAGATATTTCTCTTGAATGTGGAAAGGGTTTTGTCGCTTATAAAACTTGCTCTTTAGTTTGAGAGAGATCGCAAGAAAGGGTTATGACGTGAAGATTAGAAAATATGTGAGGTATATTTTACCTCATAACTACCTTAAAACATAGGCGTGTGCTTTATTATGAGAGAATCCGATGTATATTTTATGAAGAGGCGTGTATTCCTGATTGTGAGATGTGCATGACTTGGAATACAAGCATTTTTATTGTGATCATATGTACCTGAACTCTAACTTGACCAGGGGTGAATCCTGACAACTTGTGATCGGGAATGTAGGCCTACTATTTATGTTTAAATATCTTGATAGTGACGCTGTGTGATACCGGTTGTACCAAGATTCATGAGCGTGAAGAGCCCGAATTGATCAGGTTTGAGGAGAGTATCATTCTGATGAATAACGAAAAATTGTACAAACCTGAAACAATCGATGCGAAACAGAATTCGAACACACGATCATCGCTTTCTGATACACCTAAGGGAAATAATTCTTCACACGGAGATGTAGACAACGGAGTAAAGTCGGCTCGGCAGCAGCAGTTTATGTATGCGTTGTTCTCTGTGTTACAGTGTCAGGCACCTGTGGGTGGTTGTTTCCGATATGTCAATGTACTCGTCTTTGTTTCAGTCGTCCAAAACTAAGAAGGTGCTACGGTTGAGTCCGAAGTCGAAGAAGAAACAAAAAGCAAAGGAGAGTCATACCATGAGAGAGATGGACGGACAAGGGGCATGCAAACTTAACGACGTTCTCCCTAATGGATTCTCAGACAGGGAAATTCTAGGTAAGTCACGTGATATCACCATGGTTGGGGTCAGTATTGTGGAGGTCATGCCGCCCTCCTATGTTTAAAATAGATGACCCTCGCCATGGGTTGATTGATGGAGTGTCTTGGTGGTATTGTTCTTTGTGTCTTCTGGGCTTTTTCCTACAATGCACGAAGAATGTGCACATGGCTTTCTGTCCTGACTTGTAAGAAGTCTTTAAGGTCCCGTCTTAACAATTGAATGGCCACATTGGCCAATCACATGAAGCGACGTAATGACGTATTGATGGCCCTGTGTCCACCTGGTTTGTCCTTGTGATCAGTCTTGTTCTTCTAACGCGAGGAATATCTTTCAAGTGACAGTTTTGGTCTTTAAGAGTCAGCCTTTAGCTTCAAACTCGAGTTTTATCACGAAACTCAGACACTTTTACGACTGTCAACATGTTTCTGAAGATATTTTAGAGCATATTTAATTGTGGAACGATTCTAAAGTAGGAGTGGAAACTAACTGACTATTATTGACACGTGCGACACAAAGTAGACAGTATATTGTCTCTTGGTAAATTGCCAGTGTTCAGACTTCCATCAGTCTGCCTCTGGGAATACGGCAAGAGGTGCCAAGCGACTGATATGTGTGTGTGTTGTATTGTTTATACTAGATGATGTCACTGTACAGGTATGCCTCGGTCTTAATGTCACGATGCGCAGTATCTACAAGCTGGCGTCCTTATGGCGTCTGGTCGTGTCCAATCGTGGGTGTCATATCTTGTGTTTTTAAAGAGAGGACATGGTGGCATACTCGTCTCAGGCACAGGACCGCCTCCGTGGTGTAGTGGTTAGAGCGTCCGCCCGGAGAGCGGAAGATCGCGGGTTCGATCCCCGACCGCGTCATACCAAAAGGCGTAAAAATATGGTACTTGTTGGTCCCTGCCTGGCGCTCGGCATTAATGGGTACAACAAGGACTGGTCGGCTCGGAGTCAGTATAATGTGTCTGAGTGGGGTATTCATGCTTCACTGCGGCTTGGTATCTCAGTGGGCTAGCACTATAAAACCAGCTTCAGTCTGGGCTAGTACAAGCAGTCGCACCTACACATACACACGCATGCACGTAGTCATATGAGCGAAATATTCTCCAGCGCGACGTTAAACCCAATTTCACCTCACCTCACCTCAGGCACAGACCATCATTCTATCATGACCGAAACTCGCCCACTCACTCACTAACTCACTCTGTTCAGTCATATTAGATGAAACTCATGCATTACGCTTAAAACCTCACTGCTACAATATTATGTGGTAATACTGCTGAACGTGATGATGCCAACCTGTCAGACGTGTTTCACTGAAACTGTCAATAGTGTAAGTGGACGTTCACGCCTGGCCCGGGGCTGCTCGATGAATGAAGTGCACGTCTATATGGTACACAGTACAGTTGATGAAACTGCAAGGTCATGGACAGGTCATGGTTATTTTTGTTCGTTGAAGTCGGTGCCATATTTCCACCACACATGCTAAATGGAGTAAAATGGAAAACGTGAAATCGAGAAGATAGCGTTGTGGCACATTCCTTAAAGGATATAGAAAAATAATCTGATTGTTTTGTACACTTTATGGTCAGTCATTGAGAATCCAACTATTTAACTACGTGAAGGTGTTAGCCCGCGAGGTCTAGACCATGCCGAACATACTGGACATGAAAGATGTAATATTCAGTATCATGGAATCAACTGACTGGATCTTTAAGCTTCGAGGGCAGTGCCTTCCAATCGCTGGTCTTGCATACTTCTTGAAACCAGCTCGTTTGTAGTACCTGATTCCTCCTCTGTGATAAATCGATATTGACTCTTTTAAGGAATATAAATAGATGTAATGTTAGTGCTCCAGAATGATCATTAGATCCATAATCACAGTATCTGCTGTTACCGACAGAGCTCTTCCTTGACAGGCGATCCCGCGTCTCCATACACCACCGTTAAAGTTAATTTGCACGTTTCTACAAAGGTGCTGAACAGATACCATCCGTTGCGTTCAATGCAGCGAGCTGCTTCTGCAGGTGCATGCCTTGCCATGCTGGCAGGTACGGGGTTACGAATACCAGTGGTCAACGTAGTGTTAAAAGGTGTGGTAGCCATAGTATGATTAATCGCGGTGCAACCTCAGATTTTATGCAGCTGATACTGTCTGACTTCTACAGTCAGTAAAGATGTTCGCTACAGGTTATTGTTAATACCGTTAATGGAATAATGCGTGCTTGGAGTTTAGATAAGGAACGTGATTTCATTATTAAAGAATGTTGGGCGGCACCCATGGCACGCAAATCAGTTATGGCGCTGTTATCTAATTGGTAACATTGCAGAGATACAAAGACATAGGTTCCTGTAGTTTGTTTACTGTGTACAGTATTACTGGGGCAATATTTCTTCTTGTCACCAGATGTGGTTGTCGTTATGTATTCAGCCACAAACAAGATGATTAAGTTTTGGCAACAGTACGTGAGATACCAAACAATAACAAAACATGTTACTGATGGCAACAAGAACCTGATGCTGCACGTGCGGGAGAGTTCCATGCATTCATATGTGTATCTGCTTCAAGCTGGTTCTAATGTGTGAAATACTTATGGCACCATGACGTAATATGGATCTAATTGATGTGAAAACCACTCGCGCTGTGTTCCCTTATCATATGGTGACTCTTTTTGATGTGGAAACGACTGGCGCTATGTTTCCTTGTCATATTTGGGCTTTTGTACCGTTCGCCTCTATGCTCCATTGACGTACGACTTCTACATGTATAGTGTAAGCCACTCACCTCTATGCTCCATTGACGTACGACATCTATATGTATAGTGTAAGCCATTCACCTCTATGCTCCATTGACGTACAACATCTACATGTATAGTGTAAGCCACTCACCTCTATGCTCCATTGACGTACGACTTCTACATGTATAGTGTAAGCCACTCACCTCTATGCTCCATTGACGTACAACATCTACATGTATAGTGTAAGCCACTCCATTGACGTACGACTTCTACATGTATAGTGTAAGCCACTCGTACCTCTATGCTCCATTGACGTACGACATCTACATGTATAGTGTAAGCCACTCACCTCTATGCTCCATTGACGTACGACATCTACATGTATAGTGTAAGCCACTCACCTCTATGCTCCATTGACGTACGACTTCTACATGTATAGTGTAAGCCACTCACCTCTATGCTCCATTGACGTACAACATCTACATGTATAGTGTAAGCCACTAACCTCTATGCTCCATTGACGTACGACTTCTACATGTATAGTGTAAGCCACTCACCTCTATACACCATTCGATCCTCACATGCCTATAATGTGTACACCACTCGCGCTTCATGTGCACACCACTCGCCTTCATGTATACAGCACACGCCTTCATGTGCACACCACTCGCCTTCATGTGTACACCACTCGTCTTCATGTATACACCACTCGCCCCTTTTCCACTTCAGCTTGCCAACTCACTCATTTATTCAACTGACAAAATATTTTCTAGTGAGAACAACATTTGTCTCCATACCTTTCGACCTAATTTGGCCCAAATGAGTACAAGACATGCTACAATGTACTCTCGACGTTAGATGGTTATAACATATATTATACCATACGCTTGTGGAGTGTTCTGTGCGAGAATGGATCCTGCATATAATACCCCATATCCTGATTATACAGAAGACACACACTTCTTCTCATCTCCACATGGGGCGGTGGTCGTGTTTGCACTCTCATACTTACATATCCCCTCTACGCAGTAATGTATAATGGCACTTGAGAGGAACTCTTGCATCTAACTATGCTAGTCAGGTGGAAGGGAATTAGACCGCCTCGGAGTGTGTCAAGTACTCTTCCAGGAATACATTCAACTTTGATGAACGTCCAAAGACGTCCATGCCAACGATCGATGCCCCATCCGCGGCATGTCTCAACGTTCTGGCTAACCACAAGACGACTGTATATGCTCAGTCAAATATTGTAGAGTTGAACCTGGCCGGAAACTGATATTGTGAATAATTCAATTTAGGTCTGAGGGTTCTTAAGTACTCGACGAACTGTACAGTTGAAAAATATTAATATACAAAATCAGCCTCAGGGCCAAGTATGAGGGAAATTAATGTTGGAATTTAAAAACCTTGTTTCATGGAAATGTGTATTGGTGTCTACGATGTACTGTCAGTGAAGTTGGTTCATGGTGTAAATACGGCTCCATCAGTCAGGGGATGCGGCTGGCCCAGTTGTCTAAGGTCCAACCTGTGGCTGTCTGGCCAGAAACCTTTCACTGTGGGTTCGAGACCTGGTTCGCGCCGATTAAGGTTATATGTTTGTCTGCACCATGCCCGTGCTTGTGGGTTTGAACAGAGTGGTACACTTCTGATGCCTACATCACTTACATCTTTCCTCCCTTAAGCTCTGTTTAACTGGAGTACTGTTTGTAGCGGCCCGTGAAGATCCGGGTTAGAATTGCACTTCAGGAACCAATGCTTGTGGTAATAGGCGACTAACGGGATCGAGTAGTCAAGCTTGCTAACTTGGTTGACACATGTCATCGTATCCAAGTTGATTGATGCTCATGCTGTTGATCTCTGGATTGTCTGGTCCAGATTCGAATATTACAGACCGCCTTCCTTTAGCTGGAATATTGCTGAGTGAAGCGTTAAACAAACGAACTGTTCGGAGCGCCAATAATCCAGATGCTCTCACCCGCTCAACTTTCAGCGTGACGGGTGCGCAAATCCATGCAATCTGTACAGCAATTGGCTATGAGGAAAAACCGGTCGACATTAACACGCTCTGATATAGCAATATACATACTACAAACACATCAATGAACAAACATCGAAGCGCTTGTGACCAACTTATCGATTACCTACTCTCCCGCTACTTTGCATTTGGGCTCTTGTCGTTGAAATAATCATACACTACACATAGCACTGTTGACTATTACTTTCTCTTCAGAGTAAAACAAACACCACTTATTC